TACGCCTTCCTGATTGGAATGACCTTGCCTCTCGGTCGAACTACTTATCTTCTATGGAGCCGATGCCTAAACGTGTTGAGGTTTCGAATGTTCCCGGTAGTTGTTGCTCTATCTCCTATTCTTGCAATTGCTGCTGTTGCCGCTGTGCTGGTCATTTGCCTTGCAGGTATCCCATAAATTCGGTCCCTGAACCAGGCCAGCTGCTAAGACGTACAGAGTCGACATCTGAAGAGGTCATAAAATCCATTTCGTCCGAATCGGTGTCTCTGGAGCCGATTGAATCCAAAAGCCTTGGCATTGGAATCACTGAACAGGCTACAATGGAGCCTGGTGATTTGTCTGTTCAGGTTGACAACAATGTGAACAGCCTGACTGGTGAGGACAAAGAACGAGCCTGCCGATCCAAACACTCTATGCCCATTTGGCCGCAGGTATGCCGAGACTTATTTTTAATTGTAGAAACCAAATGCAGCCACTGGGTCGGGCAGCAATAGAATATCTATTGCTTTTGTAACACTGTTGTCTTAAGATGGCACCGTTTATAGTAATCCTTTTTCTCCTTGTACTATTACGAACCAAAGCCATCATACCTTCTGCTAAACATTCATCTTAGATTGATATCCTCCGGATATTGGGTGGGCATTTGGTGGACATTTCCGTTCATTTGTGCCCGAAGAATGTAAATATATACATATTTTTACCTTATTTGATCCTCATATCGATATTTTCAACCAAATCATAAATATAATACAAGTGACACTTAAAGTAGAAAGAACCTTAAGCCTGTTTAAATTAGTTGCTTTTTTTCATTACTAAGAAATTTGATTAAATCTTATTTTTATCCCTTTTATTCCTTCACTATAGCACCAAAGCTTTGATGGATATACCTCAATTAGCCTGAATCCATCTGATAGTCTTATTCAGGCCAGCAAATCTCCACGACCTGATGATTCGCTCATATCTCCCGAGTCTGATTTTTCTTCCAAACCTCCAGCAGAAAAGGCTACTACCGAGCATATTTGTGATTGTGCCTCACCTCTCGTAAAGCCCGAGCAGCTCTCTGGACTTAGTATTAATTACTCTCATTCTATCGCTCCTCGTTCGCTTTCCGATAGTAACAAACCATTCAACACATCCGTGCGACCGTCTACTAATTCTCCTAACATGCCTTCTGGCTTGGTTACCAATCCTTCAACACAACGCTGCAGTCCTGCAATCCAGCCTGATGTTCGGCCACTGAGTTCCACGACACAGCATCGCTATATGTCGGTGAAGTTGGAAGTTGAAAATGCCAGAAAGGAAGATGATGAAGAAACCCATGTTGTTGACTGCTTCGGTGCAGCCTTCAGCCCAGTTAGTTCGGTCCAACCCAGCCTCAGGCTGCAGCGTCTTGTAGTCGCTTGTGCT